ATGTGGGCGTGCGTGCTCTCGTGACACTAACCGCCAGAACCATCTCGCGGCCATAGAGCGATTAATAACGCCGGCTGGGTGAAAGGTTTTATTGTCGATCGTCACAACTTTACAGATTACATCGCCGAATGAGTACACTCAGTATGAGTTATTAAAGTAAAGTCATGAATCGCATGAATCAAACGAGGACTGATTGCCTCAAAACATTGCCCATGTTGCCGATTGAATGTACATCATCGAACACAACGAATCTAAACATAGCTCGGCTTCCTTAGCTCATTTGGTATCTTAATTTACGGCAAATATTGAATAACAAGAGCCTCAGACGTAGTTGAGTACTCCAAATGATGACATGATAATAAAACAAAACCCGATTATGGTCATGGTCTAGTAGTATGATTACATTAATAGAAAAGGAGCTTTGGATAAAAGATTATTCAATTATGCCAACAGGTAGGGGCAAAAGTTAGTGGCGACTGAAAGGACGTAATGTTGAGAGTTGAGCAGAAGGCAAAGGTAAGTAAAACTTGCAGCAGGCTCTGGCCTACCAGCAAGGAGGCGAATCCAAGGATAGTATATTAGTGTCACTCTTTTAGAGGATGGTTCCATTGACATCCCACGCAGATATAAGAGATAGGGAATCCATATTTATTGCAATGAGTTGAAGGCTCTAAAACCATTCATTCTACGCAGAAAATAAACCCCCTGCATGTACAGCTGAAGGAGTGTTGAGGCATTCTGTTGGTCGCCTTGCAACTTAAAACCCCTTTATTCAAGTACCAGCAACACTGGTTGGCTAGATGGTCTGACCACCCTCGCTAACCCCAAAAAATGCCTCATAACGTAGTGACATATTAATGGCCGCAAGTAAAAAGCAAACTTCTGATCTAAACCATGAGTGGAGGGAGTGAAAAACGGCTTGTAACTGAAGGAAAGACAAAGGTTCAAAGGGAGTGCGTCCGACTCTGGCCAACCTGGACTTCGACAGCACACCTTGACACTGTAGCCTCATTTTACGGTCGATGAAGGCAACACCCACAACCCTGTCCCTCGTTCATGTAAAATGAACGTCCGGATTTCTAGCCATTCTCAAATTGATAAAACCAACAGCTGGTTTTGGTTAAAAGTCAAGGTTGTCGCATATTTAAGAAATGTAAATAAATACAACAAACCGTTTCCTAATTTTCTTTCTACATTGGTCTTGAAGAAAGACACAAGGGTAGCTACCGCTATTAAGTACGCTAATAACAGAAATTGAAAATTGACCGTAGGTAAAATAATCATCCGGCCAGATGCTTTCGATTAATCGTCTGTTTTAGTTTCTAGAAAAAGGACCGGGGCGAATTTGAGCGGTTTCGTACTAGTGTAATTACTTGGGCGTGGAAACAGAGCCGGCAATGGGCTGCCGGCATGGGCATTCTACTTTCTGACCAGGGAGTGTGTATGTCCAAAAGCGAGAAACCTCGTGTCCTCGTTAGCTGACACGTTGGTCAACCCATGTACACTCAACACAAACGTTCGACATGCAATTTCGAATGGAAAAATATGCATAAACATAGACAAACGATTACCAATTGGGTTGGCGAGTTGGATGGTCAGCACTGCCACGGGTGTCTGTTGGAGAGTTGGCCAGCCTTCAAATGATGGTCCACTGGAAGGGCGACAATGTTTTATTTTGGTCTAGGGCTCGTGTCGCCGGCTGCGTGCGCTTACGCGCGTGGTCTACAATCTAGTGTGCGTGCGTTTCGTAAGTGTGGCTACGCGTGCGCGCGTGAAGGTCGTCCGTCAGCGAATGAGGCTCGCACTTTCTTAGTCGCTGCCGCTTCGTGCGTAGTGCAGGTGTGCACGCTTACGCCCACACGTCGAGGCGGTATAGCAACAAGGCCACGCGAGCACAAGCAACTGGACAGATTCACACACACACACACACGTGTCTGCGCTGAGTACTGTTACTGCTGCCAGGCCTTGCCTCCAGCATCACCAGCAGAAAGCGTCAGTGCGCACGTGCGTACGTGCATGTGTGCATGCGCGTTGACGCATGGCGAAATTCAGCCAAAAGCACACCCATGCGTCATTAGCCAACCACGTGTCTTGCCTTACTTTCGCAGCCGCCCAATCAGCGGGGCATCTGACCTCTCCTATATGTGTGCGCGTGTGTTAGGTGAACATAGCGCGTGCCGATGAGAGAAGGTGAGGTCGCGTGCGGCATCGATTAACGTCGGCAGTGTCAGTGTTTTATTGATTGACAGCGGGGTCCTGATGCCGACGCAAGGGGAGTGAAGTGAACGGCTAGCGTGCGTGTGGGCTCCCCATGAAACCGACATCGTGAAATAACAACACTGCATGACATATACATATGTATCGAGAGAAAGGATTAACTAAGCACCTAAGCCCTCCTTCGCGGTTGTAATTATCAACTGAACTGTGATGTACTTTCAAATTGTGTATACAACATTACAAACCGAGACAAATTTTAAATTTTCTTCGGCTATAGTGAGAAATGCTCGTTTTTTATGAAGAGGAATGAGAGTATAAATAAAACCGCAAGCAGACCCGAGTTATAAGCAGTGCTATTAGCGTACTTCTGCATCAGGCGCTGATAGAGCACAGACAGTGAATTTAGCGGGAGGTAAAAATCTCAAATGTGTTTTTTTAGTGTTATAAGTGTGCGTCTTAAACAAGTCTACCAACCTCTGAATCCCACTGGACGATAATTCGAGAAATATTGCCCAAAATTTTGATTTCGAATTAACACGGTACCTAATAAAGCGGACTCATTGACTTTCAGGACCTTATTCTCAGAAGTAATGGTTACCTATTTTGATACAAGATTTCTTTATTTTTTTTATTATTCTTCTAACCACGTTGCCGCTTGTTTATTTGATAGTGAGTTCCATTTTGCTTACATTTACACCGATTAGTTTTCCAGAAACCGAGGGGCATATTTCAAAATGCCTAATGTTAGGCTTTAAAGTTTATAGCCCTGAGGTCATATTTGTGTTCCTGGGCACAAGAATACTCGCAGCGCGATGACTGAAAGGCATGAAAATGTGGTTCCGGCGAAATCGACCCAGGATATCATCCTGTTAGTAGTTGCGACAGCTGTGTAGTAGATAAGTCAATTAGACGAAAGGGTAGCGGTTGCATCTTAGAAACCAGATATCATTATTTCTGCACTGCAAACATTTGTGCAAGTCGGTTTTTCTTTAACGGAAAGTGTTAAAAATTACATATATTATAATACAGACTCCAGGTCCAAGTCTGCGGGCGTTTTGCCCCAATGTGTTTAACTTATTCGACGTTAGCATGCCAGTAACCGAAGTAATGATATACTAGGCTTTCAAATCATGCTGTATATTTCAAGGGGGTTGGTCAGCTGGTCTAATTTATGTGGTTCTAGCATCAGTACCTGTTTGATTTGACTGGGTACCGTTGAAACTGAATTAGGACCAGTCATACAACGATCCTTTAGATTTCCACGTAATGACCCGAATACGTCGATAAAATCACGATGGAGCAGGCAAAGCAAGTGTTGAGCATGTATCCTGACTCCCCACCCCACCACAAAGGCATTCAGGTAACATGGTCAATAACCAAAAGCAAATGTCCCCCGAGTAATGAATCTTGGCCAAAATCTACGAAACCTAGCGTTTACTAATTTTGTTTGCAGTTTTCCTGCTATTAGCCTGGCTTCGAGCAATCACAGTTGTCCTGAAATGGACTCAAGCAATTTACTAGCGACAATATGGATGTTGCATATTCCTTAAAGCAAACAATGGTAACAGGAGGATTTTACAGTGCAGAGTTTTCATGGATAGTAAAGAAAAAGGTGCCTATAAACCATAGTAGGCGATTTGCTCTGATAAATTAGCTGTGGACACAGTGAGGCAAGCAACATACAGGGTAGCCCAGGTTTACCCAAACGCTTATTATTAATAAGCAGTACAAGTAGTTGGAGCATCATCTAATTACACAACCCAACGACAAATGATTAAAGAATAAACCAATCTTTGTAATGCAGATACGACATCATACAGTGGTAGCATTTTATTCTACCAGCTTGTCCATGTTAGGAAAAACTAGTTTTGGATCACTAATGACCCACCCTGTATTGGTAGGTATCAATGGGGAATTCGATGGCTTTCAAACAGCATCGTAGATCTCTGACTTATGCAGCAATATTTCACTTCACGCGTTAGCTGGCCATATTCCGGTTTCGTAGACAGGATCAATCACTAGAGCTGGCTTATTTGACTTCATAATCATAGTAACACAACTTCACTTTAACCGGTCAGACGTTCTAGGAACTCAAAATGTCACATTGACTGACATGTAGTGGTAATAGTTAGGGGCCCGTTCTGCGTTTCTAAGGGCAAATGTCAAAGTTCCATGGTTGCATTACAACGATCAACTCTAACTTCACGAATGGAAAGAGTGTGCGTAAACCAAATGCGG